TAACATAGCTACGGAACATGGTCCATTTACAGATGATTTTCCCAGCTAGAAACCTCCATTTATAATGGATTTCCATAGCTATGTTAGTCATAACCAGATGCTACAAATGGTGCTCCTCCCCGTTCTCCAATGCGTCGCCTGCTGTCGCAAGATCTCAATCTGCTGCGACTGAGCCTCTTTGGGGATCGGATTTCCATGGTGAACAAAGATATCGAGACTTTGATCTTCCATATAGACATGTAAATATGCATGTTCACGCACACAGGTTCAGAATTATGTATATATATATTTATAATACATATGTAGAAATGTACTATATATGAAAATATCTGAATCTATGTCAAATAATACGCATTATATACACATGCAGAACCGTGCCTAGATGTGCGCATGTTGATCGGAAGCACCACTGGTCCAACTGCATTCGTCAGACCCAGCAAGGCCTCTAACTCGGTGTAGAGAGTTTGATTCTCCTGGTGCTAGGCACATCCAATGACTGGGAAAAGCGCTTGAGCACACCGTGTGGTTCAATGTCTCTTAGTTGTATGTATTAATGGTTTATACTTGTATGCAAATATAAATATATATAATATAATATATATATATATAATATATATATATATAATATAATATATAATATATATAATATATAATATATATATAATATATATAATATAATATATAATATATATAATATATAATATATATATATAATATATATAATATATATAATATATATAATATACAAATAATTCATATATATAATATAATATAATATATAATATAATATAATATATAATATATATAAATATATACAATATATATAATATATAATAGATATAATATATATAATATATAATGTATATATATATATATATATAATATACAAATAATATATATATATATATATATAAAATAATATATCTATATATAATATATATATAATATAATATATATAATATATAATATATATATATATAATATATATATATAATATATAATATATATAATATATATAATATAATATATATATATAATATAATATATATTATATATAATATATAATATATCTATATATATAATATATATATATACGCGTGTTCTGTACATGTACGTATATTCGTGCAAGTATCTAGTAGTCTTTCATAGCCACCATTTACTTGCGCCACTTTCACGTGTTCGCTGGTTCAAACATTTTTTCCTTGCAGGGTAGCTTGATGTTTGAACCTGGAACATGGCAATCATCGCATACTCTTGTCTGGGGCTTTGAAGCCACAAACCATGCGATCATTGGTGGGGTCATCTTGGATTTGCCTGTGCCGTATATGGGCTTGAAAATAGGCTACGCCATTCCATCCACTGGTTAATCAGTTCCTATTAAAATGGCAACAATGTCAGTAAAACAATAATAGACCAGCTATATTTTGATGGTTTCATGGTTTATATCACCGATTAATGGTAAATTTGTGGGTAGTTTACTATTGCTTTTCAAACAACAGTTGATAATAATGAGGTCTATACATCATTTGCAGACATGCCAATGAGAATCCAAGGTACTTGAAGCCCCTCCTCCAAGAGTCTTGGTCCACTTTGGCGGGTACGTTCCAGCCTGTGCCACTGCAGCCGAATGTGTGCATGGTCGAAAAGCAGTAAAACCTCTAAATGCTGGTTGGTGGTTTCAACCCCTCTGAAAAATATGAAAGTCAGTTGGGATGATGAAAATCCCAATATATGGAAAAATAAAACTCATGTTCCAAACCACCAATCAGTCGATGAGAAACTTCTGAACTAGGGGAATTCATACTCAACCAATCGATCCATCACCACACGGAAAGTCACTAGAACGTGGTTGGGCAGTTTAGATGATTTAAGTGACTGGTTGAACAATGTTGAACAATGTTGAACGCCTACTTTTTCCCCTATGAAAATAGCCGATGCTGCTTTGAAAAAGGCATGCCCGAATATACAGCCATTTTGACATGGGAAAATGCAAATTTTCACCATTGAATTTTGGGTACCCGTCCCACCATCGTAGGTGGGTTTCCAAACAATCTCCATTATTGGATTGATGCCCATTCCCGAATATGGGTGTATATCATGGTATATCATCTTTTGATTATAACTTGTTTCTATATCCCATTATATCCCCAGCAATATACCATTAATCAAATTAATCTCCATTACCCTCTGGTTATTTAACAGTTCGCCATGGAAAATCACCATTTATAGGTAAACCATCTATAAATGGACCATCTATACCATGGCTATGTTAAATAACCAGAGGCTATTCTCTATCTTTTTCATGGTTAGGTCCACCATGGCACCACACAAAAACGACCCCAACTTGGCGGCCCAAACTGCTCAATGCGTGCTCCCAAAGCAGCCAACTTCGCCTCAAATGGGAAGGGCCTAATGACTTGGATGATTTGAGAGTAAACCCCTATTTTTGGAAACCACCACTAGACGGGTAAAACGATGATTGAGCCGTAGCCTATTGTAAGACAAACCCATCTCCTTTTTGCTATGGGTAAAACAATGGTTACAACCACTGTATGATGGGATATAAACCTCTAAATATAGATGCATTCCAACATATACCACTTATTGGCTGGAACGGCACCCCCAAGTAGGCGTATGGATGCACAATCATGTCTTGGGCAACCGGAAAACTTGCCATTGAAATTGACACCACCCAAAAATATCTCATGAATTGACAACTATACCCTCTTTCTTTGAAGTAACTACTTCATCATCAACCAGAATTTCGTTCAGTTCTTTGTATTCTAAACAGATTCATCGCAAGGCTATCGAGCAAGATCCTGGTACCTGGTAACATGGGTCATGCCTTTGAAATGACCTCATGATCCCCGTCCCAGTTTTTAAAAGGATTACAGCAAGTTAACACCTTCAAGGCGTCATTTTGACAGTTGCATCACCAACACCATTGGGACCATGGGAACGGGTGAAGCTCGGACGAGCACGCCGAGCACTGCGATGGCAATCCATGGGATGATGATGTGAAAGTTGGTCGCGAGGGACATCTCAAAGCATTTTTCGATCACAGGGACATGGTGAAAAAAATCACCACATGGCAGCCCGTAAGAAAAGGGTATGTATACACATAAATTCATTTTTTTTTTGTTCTCTCTCTCTCTATACACACACGCATACACGTAAACATCTATATCCATATCGACACTTGCATCTATCTCTATACCTACATCTATATCTAGATCATTCTAGATCTATATCTACATCTGTATCTGTAAATCCCAAGCGTCATCCCAAATACAAATCCTTCCAAATCATCCCCTGAAAGTTGTGAATAAAGCTCATTCTTCATATTAGATGAACTCATGATCTCCATGAAATCAGATTGTACAAGCCAACAGCCACGAATCACCTGGGTAAATTCCTTTTTGCATCACATTTTCAGGGTGAAATCCCTGCAATGTCCTATTTCTTGTGGTTCAATAAATGTTTGATGGTTAGGCCGAGCTATTCCCATGATAGCACACATTTTCCAAGATCAACCATGATGTGTTGGTGGTATCCACAGTAAGCCGGTCAGTATCACCTTACACTCAGCCACTTCTGCATCAAACCTCAAACGAGTTTTGAGTGATGAGGTCCCAGAATCTCCAGGTTTTGCATTTCAAATCGCAACAAAACCATCATGAAATCACAGTTCTCAAGTCTAAAAACATCATATTTCCGTGTTTCCTTATCTACACTGGTTACCTCATGATTTTTGGCACCCAAAAGCCTTGGGTGACATCAACAAAAGCCTTGGTTAATCACAGGGCATCCGCACGCGATCAGCAGCTCCGCGTGAGCGCTCCTGGCCAGGTCGGGAGTATCCTAGAGATATGGACCACTGGGTGAAGTATCAAAAAAAATAACTTCAATATGGTTAAAAATAACAAACCACTGATGATTGATGGATGATAACAAAAACAATTCTAGTAATAATATATATATATATGTATATGGGATTAACACTGTACTATTCTGTTGGTTTTTTAGGGTTCAACAATATGAACATTTGGGGCCATGCTTAGGCTCACTAGTAGCCCGGATTGCAGCCTCAAGGTATGGGTCAAAACCTGGCCCTGGTGAGAACAACCAATACAAACCACCGTATGAGAGCTGCAAGGAGCTAGAATGGGTGTAACACAAAATTACAAACATTTTACCATCACAAGATGTAAAACACTCTCTTCCACAGATCATCATAAAAGATCGTATATTGCGCCTTATGCAAGAAGAATTAAGTACATTCCAACAAGGATCCTAGGGGTGATGCTGTCTACTGTGAGAGAATTGGTTCTTATGGTCACTGCTGCAAATGTTTGACAGCAATGGACGATAAATAGCTGGCGGGCAACAGTATGAGACCGTTTAAGACAAGTCCAATGGCTCAATCAACAAATTTCAGCAAATTGGGGATTTCCCTAAAATGAAAACACATGAGGGATACTACGTATTAGGGGGTTTCCATATTTTACCTGGGGGTTCATCCCCAAGTCACCATAGGTTTTAATCCTACATGGCCTAATGACTTGGATCACCAAGGGTCCCTTGGTTGGACTTCTCCGATGTGCCGAGGGACCTCCCCGGACGATCCCAAGCGCTGCAATTCAGTGTCCAATGTTGGGGATGGAACAAGCATGCTACAAAGTCGTGATAGTCATAATTAAATAGCCCCAGTGCTATCAATTTTTTATTTCCCCACAATTGTATTTCCACAACTATCAATTTAATAGCCACAGTACTATTATTGTGGGTTGAACCCCAGTTTTCTTGCATAATGAAGCCACCCGGCAGTGAAACAAGTGGAAATTCCACTGCTTCATCAGGCGAACATCGCCAGGATGAATCTACGGCACGCGAGCAATGGAATCTTTGGACACCATGGCAACAAACTATATATCTATATAGATCTAAACAGTATAGTATATCTAGTGTGTATATATATATATTTATTTCTTTATTTATTAACTAGGAGAAGCTAGCAGAAAACCTTGCGACCACCGCCGCAAGATTCCAACATCTCGTCAAAGTGACGAAAGAAACGTGACTTTCAGGGCTGACAGCAACCGGTCAACAACTTGAAATGGCCCACCTGTCGTGCAACTGATGGCTGCCGCATAGCTCAATACCGTGGGCTGAATGGCACTAGCCGCCATAGATTCCAGGAGGAGAATGGCTTGTTGCCACTGACCCGCACAAGAACCTGTGGTTATGGGGCGCGCTTCAATGACATAGCTACCCTCAATAACCAGCCCAAAAGAAAATTGCCTTCCAGGTCTATGTGAATAGGGTATGGGGTCTGTGGTTCGTACTGGTGATTGGAAAGTCTTCAAAAGTTCATAGAGGTCAAAATGCATAGAAAACAAAGCGGGCTGAACTCTCGCAACCAAAACAGCCCGTGACTTCGCTTGCATGGCTTGGCCAGAAAACAAACTTCACGACTAAGTGGTCGAATCACCACCTCCCCAGAAGAACACCGATCTCACCCGATCTCATCACCAAGGAACTGATGGCTGAATTAAAACTGATGACATCCCATGCAACCGTCGATTCGGACATGAGCTGCAACAGCTGTAAAGCCTGCTGCCATTCCCCTGCCTTTTCGCAGCAGGACATGACTGTGTTGAAGGTGATGCAGCTGGGCTGAAGGTCAGCCATCAGCAACGTGTCGAAAATCACCAAAGACTGCTGCCACCGTTGGCTGGTTTCCAAGGAATTGATGAGGCCATTGAAACTGATCACATCAGGTTGAAGCGACGCATCCTCCATCAACTTCATCAACCTCAGTGCCTGCTGCCACATGCCCTGCTGCTCACAGGAGCTGATGGCCGCGTTGAACGTCACCAGATTTGGCGAAAGATTTCGCCGCAGCATGGTGTCAACCAATGTCAGCGCCTGCTGCCATTGCCCAGCTTTCTCGCAGCAACTGATGATCGCACTGAAGCACACCACGTCCTGAGTGATCATGGTAAGCACAAGGCAATAGATTTCTAGAAAGGAGAGGCCCAGAAAATTGAAGGCAGGGGCATTTTTTGCTATTTGTTCACCCTTTTTTGGCGAGTTGAACTGCCCAAAACATTGAAACTGCATCAACCAGTGTCAAGTTGGAGGTCGGAAAGCTGCATAGCATCAAATAAGCTTAAAGCCTGCTGCCATTGGCCGCCCTTCTCACAGGAAATGATGGCGGAAGTGAAGCAAACCAAATCCTGGTTGGTTGTTGTGCCCCCCCCCCCGGAGAACCATGGGTTGGGTCGTCGTGGTCGTCATCATCATCATCATCATCAGCACCTGCATCAGCGTCATCACAATTTCGGGATGGAACATATGTAAATGAACGCGCTAACCAGATTCAGGCTAGTGGGTAAATGGAACACCTTCAACATGTACTGGAACACCAGAAACAACCATTTGAAACACCCCCAAAGTCACAAAGCCATTCTCCCCTATGACAATCTTTGCTGCAGGAAAATTCCTGTTTTTTTGGTTTTCAGCCGTTGACAGCCAAAACTCTGGTCGGATGCCCCACGTCGCCGAAAACGCCAGGAGCTTCAACGCGTCTTCCGGTCGTTCTCTGCAGGCACTGATGGCTGCACCCAGGCTGCTGGCGTCGGGGCAACAGCTGTGGTGGACCATGGAATTGAAGCAGCTCAGCGACAGCTGCCACGGCTGGCAAGAGTTTATGGCCTGCAAGGGACGGGGCAATAGTTTTATAGATGCAAAGTTGAATCTGGTTGGTGGTATACCTAGTATACCTACCCCTCTGAAAAATATGAAAGTCAGTTGGGATGATGAAAATCCCAATCTATGGAAAAATGAAATTCATGTTCCAAACCACCAACCAGTGAATTGTACTTAGAAATGATCAAGAGATGGATAGGTAAATTTGAAGTATATCCGACGGGTCATGTTTGGTTGAATTGGTTCCTCAATTGGATGCGACATACTCATTCCCATCTCCCTAATGAATTATCCCAGCTACGTGGACATCCTTGTGGAATGTATTGGATCTATTCATTTTAGGGGTCGCAGCAACGACGAGTCTAGACCTCCAATGTAATGTTTTTGATTTGGTTCTCCTAGAGAAAAAAATGCAGGTACAAGCAAGATTTGAGGGCAAGCACCAGCTCGGGTTTCCTGTACATGTTCACAACAAATCAACTAACGCTGAGAAATCTTGGGGATTTAGTACCTGAGAACTTGTCTTGCTTCATCATTTATCTGACGTACTTGCAATCCCAACAAACAAAGTCCTCAACCGCCCAGGCACTGCATTAAACGCAATGGAATTCACCCGAATTTCATCCACCAACATCTTCTGCAACAGTTCCATGGCCCTCCGCCATCCTTCACCACCTGCCATCGCCGCTGTGCTTGTCACCACGTTGCTCCGCAGCCGCCGCGACGGCAGCGTGGCGAACAACGACAGGGCCACGTGCCACTGGTGGCACCGGGCGCATCTGGAGATTTGGGTGGTGAAATCCTTGGTGGAGACATCCAACTTGTTGGCCAAGTCCAGATTGGATGCCCAAATTGAGCCCCTCATGATGCACTTGGTCCAGAGTGGCTGACAGGACTGTGAGTGCAATAGCCAATAGTCTGTGCAGTCATTACTAGATGGTCTACAGCACAAATGAAAATACAACACGCTCCTGGACCTGGTCACCACTATGCCTGGCTGCCAGGATATAATCAAAATTGGATACCCCGAAAACTGGAAGCTTCATACCAAACATGACAAAATCTGTCATGACTCCCTGGGCCACACCCACGTGAACACTTCGAAATTCTCAGACTGAGGCGGCTGTGATGACAGTGTCCCAGAAAATCATGGAAGGGAAATGTGCAGTTGCACAGTGAACACTGACTTTCCCGCTACTATCCCTTTGGCTGGATGCCCATTGTGTTGACCAACATTATGAATCTGATTGCCTGCGTCATTAATTTCATTGCCACTTGTACACCCAGGCCTTGGAAACAGGGGACCCGCATCTAATTTTCTCAAGATCCCCCTTCTGCTGGGCACCATGAAAACTAGTGGCCACTATCTGTGAGTTGGCTCTTGGATTTTCCATGTCAAAGATCTGTCTCCATCTCCAATTTTCTCCAGCTTTATTTTCATTTTTTTGGGGGTCATGCGGTCATGCATTTGTTTCTGATCTCCCCAATCTCACCACTTTTCAGCGGCAACTCCATCATGGCAGATCTCACCGCCCCCAACAAACCGCGGACTCGGGCGCACTGGGGCCGTTGCGGTCGCCACAACAGGGCCGCAACGACGCAGCGGAGGCTCAGGATGCTGGGCTGAAGCGTGGCAGAGGCCATGGAATCGAAGAACTTCAGCAGCTGCCGAGGTTGTTGATGGCAAGCAGCCATGGCTGCCTTGGATGGATTTGATATCTTCAAATCCATGGGTTTTTGGGTACAATATATCCAACAATCTTCCCAGTGTCTGAAGTTTGGCAAGTCTTGGTGGATCTACCAAGCATTTTTTCGGGAAAGCAACAAAAAACATGTTTGCCGAAATGAACACTACTACTCAGCAAAATCTAGGCTGCATTGAAGCCAATGACATCTGGTTGAACCTGTATCCATTCCATGTGTTCAAACAAACCCAAGGCCTGCTGCCATTGGGATTCGCAACAGGTCAGCAATGTGTTGAAGGTGATGTGACTTGGCTTTACCTCAGGGTTTTAGCAGCTTTGGTGCCGGGAATGATTGAGTTGGAAGCCCTACACATACCCAATCTTCACCTCTTACCTATGCCAAAACGGCAATTTTCAAGGATCTTCCCTCCTTTTACACTGCAGTGCCTTCGCCACGACCATGTCTTCAAAAACGGCGATCGCCTGCTGCCAGTTCTGCTGACATGCCGTGATGACGGAGTTGAAGCTGATGACGTCAGGTTGAAGATGCAGGGCACACATCGACCCCAAGAAACCTGATGGGATGGGCACACTGGCCTTGGGCCTGCAGGTCCACTGAATCAGTTTTGTACATTAGGCCAGAACTAAAGGGAACCAATATCTCAACTGATTTTGGTGAAACCATGTTAAACCATCATCATGCATGCCCATGACAAATCCCAACTGCACCGGAAGGGCGCTGGTTCAGCTGTCCCCGCGGTTTTTTTCGGCCAACGAGGATCATCCCAAATAAGAGGTCAAGTAGGACAGATTTGACACCACCGACCAGAACTTCAGCAACAAAGCCACCAACATGAAAATCAAACACCAACAAAGCATATCCAAGAAACACACAGCTTGTTGCCACTGCCCATATCTTTCGCACGAGCTCATCAAAGCGTTGAACACTATAAGATTCGGTTGGATCTTAGCTTGAGGCATTGTGTGGAAGAGATCCCAAGCCCGTTGCCACTCCCCTGCGATGTCACAAGAACTGATGGCGGCACTGAAGCTGATGACATCCAATTCCATTTCAGCTGACTGCATGTCATCAAACATAATCAGTGCCTGCTGCCATTGAATTCCACAAGAACTCATGACAGCATTGAAACTGGTCGCTGTAGCTTCAATCTGATATTGCTGCATCTCTCGAAATAACATCAGGGCGTTCTCTGGTCGGTTTCCTTTCTGACAAGCGCTGATGGCAGCATTGTAGCTGATCACATCCAGCTGGATCTTCACATCTTTGGCCCATTGAAAGATGCGAAGTGCCTCCATCCATAGCCCGAACTTTTCACAGGAACCTGGTTGAAGCAGCCTGGTCCAACATAAATAGATAGAAATGGACTATCTTCCCACTTGACAACAAAGAAATGATCCCTGTATGAAACTCCAAACTCCTGGTTTAGTATTCCTTATTGGCTGTTTGACATTGGATAAATTGGATCAGTTGAGATCCCAGAAGCTGATGGATGCACTGAAACTGATCACATCTGCCACATCCACTGCAGGCATTGCCTCGAGAAGCCCAATGGTCTCTGGCCAGCGGCCGTTTTTGTCGCAGGAGCTCAGAACCTCAGTGGTGGCTGTGAGCAAGCCGGGCCCAGGGAAAAAATCATTGGCTCGTTGGAAAAAGGAGTGGTAATTTGTTTCTGGTGAGCCACCTATGCACCAAACGAAAAATTGTGTGAAACATGCTCATCTCAAGTAAACTTGACAAAAAAGACATCCTTTTGAAACCACCCAGTCACAGAATTGTAGCTGACCACGTCAGGACTCACATGTCGTCGCATCTGACACATCAACAGGTCAACGGCAGACTGCCACTGACGGTGCCCAACGCATCTGATCAGGATGTTGTGTGCAATGAGGTTCGGCTCAACTTTCGATTGGGGTATGGCATGAAAGAGACGAATGGCTTGCTGCCAGTGACGACCTCAAGGAAAATGTCAAGCTGGAAGGGGAAAACGTGGGAGAGTATACTTGTCGGGGTACATGGCACAATGGCAGGTTTCATGTGAAACATCTTTTGGCTGTAGTTCAACTCTCCACCCATTATATCCCATGATTGATGATGAAACCACTACCATTTCCACATTCTTGCTTGTTAACATTTCATCAAACTCACATTTTTTATTGTTAAATCACCGGTAATATCTCATAAATCTATCAGTTTTCCTGGTTAAATCTCATTGAAAACCCATTGATATCCGGATATATCCGGTCATATCCATGAAAAACCAATTTTTTCCAAGGCACCCTTCTCCCAACTCGCCAGCGCTGCGCCGTAGCCCGCAATTGGCCGTCGGCTGGCGCGCAGAGCCTCGAAGTGCAGGGCGCGGCGCCAGGCGAGCTCGGCGTCCATGGCTGAGCCAAATGGCCAGGGAGTTTGGGTACCCCTATCCCAAAATGCCAAAAAAGGATGACCTGCCCAAGGGCCTTAGAATTATCCATAAATAGATAATCCATAGATAATGGATATATCTATCATTACCTATAACCATATCTAGATATATAGTGATTGATAGCCATTAGTCATTTGTGAATCATAGTTATGTTATGAAAGGGTATAATTCATATGGAGGTTTCCTAAAATGGTGGTAACCCCAATCATCCACTTATAGATGAGATTTTCCACTATAAGCCATCCAGCTATTGGGTACCCCCAATATGGTGGTTTCACTATGGAAAGTGGGAGTCATCCTGTTGTTGGAGGTTACTCCACCAAACTCCACCTAAAGTGATGTATTTTTTCACTTTATTGGTAGGTTTCTACTCTTCTATCTTTATGCAGGGTACTACATCGAGATAAAGCGGTGGGACGTCCTCCATCAATGACAACAGTTATCTAGATAAACTGAGCACTGTCTATGGTATTTGATTTACAGTGGATGGCATGATGCAAAACTGTCATCTGCCGATCCTGCCCAAGGACCTGATAATTAATTGATATTAATCATCCATAGATAATAGTTATTCCATAGATAGATAATACATATAAATAATTAAATACATATACATGTATATCATTACTCATATAATATGTGAATCATAGTTCTTTTCAGTAGTTGTATCCACAGATAAACCTCATTATATGAGTTCTTTGCGATTCGCCAAGCGGCGTTGGGTCCCCCCGCTTCATCCAGCATGCGCTGCAGCAGCATCTGTGACCGTGTGGCGTCGGAGATCTGAAGCTCCAACATGGCCTGGAATGTGGTAAACTACGGGCTGATGGTAACCCTCGGGTAAACTCCCATAACTATGGAAAATCCACCCATTTTTCATGGGCAAATCATCAATGAATCTAACATAACTATGGAAAACCACCATTTTTTCATAGGCAAAACATGAATCAATTATTTTTTTTCCAAGAGCTATGTGTTAGTTTACCGAAGGTTAACAAAAAATGGTGGGTTAAGAATCAGCAATGGGGATTAAACTAGGAAAAATAGGGGAAACATGAGCGGGTATAGTGGCACATCAATGGTAAAAAAACATGGGAAACTGCTGGTGAAACCATCGATACTGGGATGTTTTTGTGGGATGTAAGCAAGCAGTTTAACAGAATTTATCCATGGTAAACCATCAATAGTGGCTACCTACCAGCAACAATGGGAATGAATATAGAGAATATAATAGGATTTTGGTGTGTCTGACAATGGGGTATGCCTCCATTTGTGGCCATTTGAATCGGGAAAAGGATCACTGACCAATGGATGGAATGATGTAGCCTATTTTCGGATAAACCCATCTGCGTAGCACATGTTTGAGATATCTAAGTTAACTGATCGGGATATATCCCCTAGAATGGGGAATCATGTGACTATATCTCATGCTAGTGATTCAATTGACATAAAAAATGGGCACACTAAAGGGATTTCAATGTGATTTTTTGATGGGGATATCATCAATACCCCTCTTGATAGCCACTGCATAAGCAATGCCAAAGTTCCGAACACTACCCTAATGTAGTTGGCACACGCTTGGTAGACGGCCGCGTACTTTTGTTGCTTTTTTGCTCATTGGGGTGGGGTGGGGTGGGGTGGGGTAATAACGTTCATTTGCACTTCCTCACATACATGATGCTACGCTACTGTATGTCGTCTTGCACTTCCTCACATACATGATGCTACGTTATTGTGTGGGGTGGGGTGGGGTAATAACGTTCATTTACACTTCCTCACATACATGATGCTACGCTACTGTATGTCGTCTTGCACTTTCTCACAGATATGATGCTACGTTATTGTATGTCGTCTTGCACTTCCTCACATATATGATGCTACGCTACTGTATGTCGTCTTGCACTTCCTCACATACATGATGCTACGTTATTGTGTGGGGTGGGGTGGGGTAATAACGTTCATTTACACTTCCTCACATACATGATGCTACGCTACTGTATGTCGTCTTGCACTTTCTCACAGATATGATGCTACGTTATTGTATGTCGTCTTGCACTTCCTCACATATATGATGCTACGCTACTGTATGTCGTCTTGCACTTCCTCACATACATACATGATGCACGCTGAAACGACTTTTGAAACAATGAGGAAAAAAAGGCTATGAAGTGCTGCTTCGCAGTAGTTTGGAACAAGGCAAAAATGAGGAACGTCAAAAAACATTGAGTTTTTTTTTCTGAAAATCCCATTTCGTGCCACGGCCGTCTATCAAGCGTGGACCTAGTTGACCGCAATGAAAACATGACGTCTGAAACCAGTGGTATCCCTAAATCGATTGGTTCATCAATTTCTTCTTCAAAGCACCATTTGCGGATAATATTTCATTTTTGGACAGCCATATGGTCATCACTCGGGGTATTTAAGAGTTATCATCCAGACAACTCCGAGAGTCAGGATAAGTCGTATGAGTCCGCAGCTGGCGTGCTATTGATTGTCGTAGGAGTACTACTGGGCTTATGCTCCTTGACGTCTTCTACAAGTGCTGGAAAACTGCGTTGGCCACCTGACCAACTTGGATGTGTACAGCAAGCCTGGGGAAAATGTGCCATGATTATTCCCCTTTGCTGGGTTGCGAAGGTTAGGAGAGGGTACAATTTTCATCAATACTCTCTGGGATGTTGAGTTGCATGGGATATATTCTGGATGTATCGCAAACAATGGGGTACCCCAAACCATTGATTTGCCGATTAAGTGCTGGCCTGCTTTGCAGGAAACCATGGTCATATTGGGTTCGCTACTGGGAAAATAAACTTCTGCCAGACCATCAAACAGTTCACTATTTACAGCCGAAAAAAGCCCACTTGAAAAATCATTCGCCAGGGGATTTGCCAAAATATTCCAATCTTTTGGTGAACTCTTCATCAGTTGCTTGATATACAGAGGCTGCATTCACCAAGGCGTTCCCCACATAGACCCAACCATTCAGCGGTGCAAATCCCACATGTTTGGCAATTTGATGGTTTCGTCCCTCTAACGGCACCAAACAAATATTGATGCATAATAAACATTTTTTTTACTGTGGAAAAGCTAATAATAAACCTACGGCTTGGGGAATTTATGGTAGTATTGGGGTTGGCTTATTGTTGGGTTTACCACATGAAGCATCCCATTATTCTTCTGTTTTCCGAACAAGTTACCAACATTCCCCAATACGAATACATCAACCATTTTGGGATGATTCCCCCCAACGATCATTGTGAGGTCGTTGTGAGGTTGTATTTATCTATTGCATCCCCATGTTGAACTGATTGCCCTCTGGTAAATTAACATAGGCCAAGGAAATCAACCATTTTTAGTGGAAACTAATTTTCCAACCCCTATCTGCCAGGGTCTAAATTAATTTACTGGAGGGTAATTGTACCCCCATTTTGGTTGCTTAAATCTCAGTTTTTGGCTATTCTGATGGTATCCAAAAGTTTGGTTCATCAATTCAATTTTTACATGGTTAAATCCACAGTAATATCCATTAAATCACAAGAATCTCTCATGATCTATGGTAAAACCACCATACTTTCAGCATTTCTGCTGGTGAAGTTCCTGTGAAATCCAAATTTTCGCTGGTCCTGTCAGCATTTTTCATGCTGATTGATGGTTAAACCAGCACATGTCTCCATTTTTTGCTGGTTACATCACCATGAACCCACCACAGGCTGTGTCCAGAACCTTCTGTTCCAAGAGCTCTTGTTCCTTCCGCCGCGTCGCCGGGCTGGTGCGCCCCGGAGCACCTGTGGCGGAAATAGCACAGGTTGGTGAAAGAGCCGGGTAGTGTTGAACATCAGCAAATGGAGTAAATATGTACTGTATGTATGTAGGTAGGTAGGTATGTATGTAGGTATGTATGTAGGTATGTAAGTATGGACGTATCTAAGTAAAAATATAAACTCAGAAAAACGCGGGGACTATGTATGTATGCATGCATGTATGTATGTATGTATCTAAGTATGTATCTATGTATGTATCTATATATGTATGTATGTATGTATGGATGGATGGATGGATGGATGGATGGATGGATGTATGGATGTATGGATGTATGGATGTATGGATGTATGTATCTATCTATCTATCTATGTATCTATGTATCTATGTATCTATGTATGTAACTATGTATGTATGTATCTACCTATCTATCTATCTATCTATCTATGTATGTATGTATGTATGGATGGATGTATGGATGTATGGATGCATGGATGTATGGATGTATGGATGTATGTATGTATGGATGTATGTATCTATGTATCTATGTATCTATGTATCTATGTATCTATGTATGTAACTATGTATGTATGTATGTATCTACCTATCTATCTATCTATCTATCTATGTATGTATGTATGGATGGATGTATGGATGTATGGATGCATGGATGTATGGATGTATGGATGTATGTATGTATGGATGTATGTATCTATGTATCTATGTATCTATGTATGTATGTATCTATGTATGTAACTATGTATGTATGTATGTATGTATCTATCTATGTATGTATGTATGTATGTATGTATATTCAATAAAAAAATATATCTAGATATCTATATAGTTATATATCTATATATCTACATATCAAAATATCAATATTTCTATATATATATATTGTGAAAGGGATTTCTCCCCTTCCCACTGGTAGCCCAAGATCTCAGCAATCCCTGATTGTCAGAAATGAAAGTGGTCCCACCACTGAAATGATGTAAAAGATCCCTGTCTTCTCTGAATGAAATCCGCAGCAGCAAAACGTTGTTTTCCTCCCAAGGAAATGGCTCAAGCAACGGTATGGTGTCCAACACCAAGAAACCACGGCCCACCCTCCACTGGCACTTGTGCCATATGGGCCATCGGAACATGCTGGTGGTATGCAAGGTTCACATGCAGTCACATCAAGGCAAGCATCAGGGTG